TGATTTTAGAATCAGTCAGTTCAGTCGCTCAGTCGTGTCCGACTATTTGCGACCCCATGAATCGCAGCACGCCAGGCTTCCCTGTCCATCACCAACTCCCGGAGTTTGCTCAAACTCACGTCCATCGAGTCGGTGATGCCATCCAGCCATCTCATCCTCTGTCTTCCCCTTCTCCTCCTGCCCCAAATCCCTCCCAGCATCAGGGTCTTTTTCAATGAGTCAACTCTTCGCGTGAGGTGGTCAAAGTATTGGAGTTTCAGCTTCAGCATCAGTCCTTCCAGTGGACACCCAGGACTGATCTCNGTTTCTCATGATGTACTCTGCATATAAGTTAAATAAGCAGGGTGACAATATACAGCCTTGACATACTCCTTTTCCTATTTGGAACCAGTCTGTTTTTCCATGTCCAGCTCTAACTCTTGCTTCCTGACCTGCCTACAGGTTTCTCAAGAGGTGGGTCAGGTGGTCTGGTATTCCCGTCTCTTTCAGAATTTTCCACAGTTTATTGTGATTTTAGAATAGCTCTGTCCAAAAAAGCGTTTTTTAATCTACTAAATTCTTGATTCATTACGGCAACATATAAACACACCCTATGAAAATTAGGTGCCTAGATTTGATCACTTCATGAACATCCTTTCTTTGGGAACCAAATATTTAACTCTCTAAAAGTTCCAGGTGACTGTTGAGCTTTAGTCATATTTTAGATATTATTACCCAGAGATGCACATGATGTCAAACATGTAGAAATAATTGCTTTGAAAAACTTGAATAATGTGCTAGAAAAAAATCATCTGCATAATAAGAGTCAGTATAGGGGAGGTGAGAGTGATCACAGAGGGGATCCTGTGTGGGGCTGGAAAATAGTCCTGTCTCAACCCCAGCCATTGCCAGGGTCTTGCCCTTTACGTGTGCGGAAGCCCTGTCTGGGCTCTGGGGCAGCGAGCTGTGATCATAGTGATGGTGGCCCTGAGCACAGGGGCCCTATAGCCTCAAGCCTGTGATCACCTGCCTTATCGGGGAGTCTTCCATTCTCACTCAAGGATGAGCAGGAGTGAGAGGTGAGAGGTGTTTCTGGTGTCATCCTACTGGCTGGTGGCTGTGCTGAGATTTAGCAGATAGGAATTTCATTGTTTACATGTAACCATTTGTAGTGAAAGTGAAAGTCATTCAGATGTGTCCAACTCTGCGACCCCATGGGCTATACAGTCCATGGAATTCTCCAAGCCAGAATACTGGAGTGGATAGCCTTTCCCTTCTCCAGAGGATTTTTCCAACCCAGGGACTGAACCCAGGTGTACCACCTTGCAGGCGGGTTCTCTACCAGCTAAGCCATGAGGGAAGCCCAACCATCCATAGTAGGAGAGGTCAAACCAGTCAATCCTAAAAGAAATCAACCCTGAATATTTACTGAAAGGAACTGATGCTAAAGCTCCAGTGCTTTGGCCACCTGATGTGAAGAGTTGATTCATTGGAAAAGACCCTGATGCTGGGAAAGATTGAAAGCAGGATAAGGGGATGACAGAGGACAAGACAGTTGGATTGGATGGCATCACCAACTTGATGCACGTGAGTTTGAGCAAACTCTGGGAGACAGTAAAGGACAGGGAAGCCTGTCATGCTGCAGTCCATGGGGTTGCAAAGAGTCAGACTTGACTTAGCAACTGAACAACAACAAGAACATTATAGTAGATTCTAAACAAACCATCTTGGTTCTTAGAGCCAAAACAGACAGAAACAAATCCCTTCAAACCCCTCAGTGTTAAGAATGGACCACTATGTTATTGTCTTAAGAACTGTTTGTTAATGAAAGAAAAAGAAAGTAATTTTGCCCTGAAGCTGGTTATTTCTACGTGGAAAACAAAAGAAAGGACAAACTAATATGAATATAGAAATTTGTGGAAAAGGAAGCCTGAAAAGAATTTTGTGTGTGATTAAATTTAATTTAATTGAACGAATGCATTTTAATACTGTATTAAAGGTGTAAAATAGTGGAAAACTAAAAGGTATATATTTGTGTGTGTGTTTATAAATATATAGTGTCCAAATACATTTAAGAAAAATATCTAGTCTATTCAAGAGAAAGCTGTGGGTCATTGTTGTTCAGTCTCTAAGTCGTGTGACCCCATTTTTGACCCCTTGAATTGCAGCACGCCAGTCTTGCTTGTCCTTCACGATCTCCTTGAGTTTGCTCAAATTCATGTCCATTGAGTTGGTGATGCCATCGAGCCATCTCATCCTCTATCACCCGCTTCCCCTCTTGCCCTCAATCTTTCCCAGCTTCAGGGTCGTTTCCAGTGAATCAGCTGTTTGCATCAGGTGACCAAAGTATTGGAGCTTCAGCTTCAGCATCAGTCCTTCCAGTGAATATTCAGGGTTGATTTCCTTTAGGACTGACTGGTTTGATCTCCTTGCTGTCCAAGGGATTCTCAAGAGTCTTTTCCAGTAGCACAGTTTGAAAGCATCAATTCTTTCATGCTCAGCCTTCTTTTTTGGTCCAACTCTCACATAGGTCATTAATAGAAATCAAATGGTGAGGAGCCAGAAAAGTAAGAACCAGTTAGCACAGTGGTCTCTGCCTGAGCCAACCTTTCCATCTTTTAAACAAAAGGAAGAAGAGAAATAATTAAAACAATGCCCAAGGCTGCCTGTAGCATGTTGAGAATAATTCCTCCATTGAGGGCCTGGCTGAGGTCCTCTGGGTCAAAGAAAGTAGAAGTTTCTGTAGAGGAAGGTTTATTTATTTGGGTTTTTGTTTTTGCTCATTGAGAAAGTACTTGGCCAGACACTGGTGTTTATTTGTGTGTGTGTGTGTGTGTGTGTGTGTGTTGTGTATATTGTGTATATTGTGTTCTGCTTTGGAGATCCAACCAGTCCATACTAAAGGAGATCAGTCCTGGATGTTCATTGAAAGGGCTGATGCTGAAGCTGAAACTCCAATACTTTGGCCACCTCATGCGAAGAGTTGACTCAATGGAAAAGACCCTGATGCTGGGAGGGATTGGGGGCAGGAGGAGAAGGGGACAACAGAGGATGAGATGGCTGGATGGCATCACCGACTCGATGGATGTGAGTTTGAGTAAACTCCAGGAGTTGGTGATGGACAGGGAGGCCTGGCGTGCTGTGATTCATGGGGTCGCAAGGAGTCGGACATGACTGAGCGACTGAACTGAACTAAAGCAGTTAGGCAGTAAACATAATTGATATCTAAAGAAAGAGCAGGGTATGTTTTTTAATTGTTTACTTATTTTGGCTACACTAGATCTTAGGTCTGGCATGTGGGATCTAGTTCCCTGACCAGGGATTGAACCCAGGTCCTCTGCATTGGGAGTGGGGGTTCTTGGCCACTAGACCATCAGGAGAGTCCCAGAGCAGGGTATTTTAATGTTGTGCATGGGGTGAGTTGCTTCTATCCTGTCTGACTCTGTGCAACCCTGTGGACTGTAGCCCGCCAGGCTCCTCTGTCCGTGGGTTCTCCCAGTAAGAATACTAGAGTGGGTTGCCATGCCCTCTCCAGGGGAATCTTCCCAACCCAGGGATCAAATGCACATCTCTTGTGTCTCCTGCACTGGCAGGCTGGTTCTTTACTACTAGCACCATTTGAGTACCAAGGATGTTTATCAGCCCCACAAGGAGCCATGTTTGTTCTCCTACAACAAAAAGGCAAACTGAGCCCTACATTACATGTTCTGCCTCTTGTCAGTCACTTAGGCTGATAACAGCTGACCTTTGTGGGATGCTTGATGTGTACAATCATTGGACCAAGTTTGAATGCTTTTGTTCTGGGAGATAGTGAAGGACAGGGAAGCCTGGCGTGCTGCAGTCCATGGGGTCGCAAAGAGTCAGACATGATTGAGTCAGTGAACAACAACGCTGCAAAGAAGTAGATGGTATCATACCCGTTTTACAGAGGGAGAGAGGTCTGCACAGATGTAAGGCACATAAGGAAGATTCAGAATTAGGTTTATCTGTTTAACCGACATAGGCAACAGCAAGACTGCCTCTCTCATCTAAGTCCTCTGAGCCTCTGTGCTCTTATCTCTTAAACTGGAGATCTTACCAATGGAAGCATCAGAAGAACCAGTTTGTTTTTTGTGTGTGTGTGAAAACTTTATGATTTACTAAGCATTTTTCAGAAGTAATATGCCATTATTTACAAATACAAGATTTAAACTAGCAGGCAGCATTTTGTTGTCATAGCATTTACTCATATCTGTTGAGTGTTAAGCAGTTTTGCTAACATGTAATTTATTTTCATACATTATTAAGCTTTATTCAAATACAACATTGATTATTTAGCTAGCTATAAACCAGGCTTCACTTTTCTATCCTAAATTTATCTTTTCTCCCAAATAGTCATGCTTGAGGGGGCTGAGTAATTTCCAATATACTTGCGTTTGCACAGTAATACATACCACTTACAGATCTTCTGAATACTTTCTCTTTTGGCATGCCCATTGTTTATCAATTTTCTTATGTTTCTCTTACTGCATTAAATCTTAGAGACAAATATGCGTAATGTACGAGATGTGAAATGTTGCTACTATGCATACAAAAAGTAGTTTAGCTTAATTGCTGATGGTTAATCCATCTCAGACTCCAAGGCCAAGTTGAAAGGGCTTTGAAGTCTTACGTGAAAACATGATAGATACTGTGTATCACCATAAATTAAGCTGATGGATTTTTTTCCCCCAGATGATTGCCTTTTTTCCAGGCAAGAATATTGGAGTGGGTTGCCATTTCCTACTCCAGGTTATCTTCCCAACCCAGGAATCGAACCCGCATCTCTTGCATCTCCTGCAATGGCAGGCAGATTCCTTACCACTGCACCATTAGGTCCACTCGATTCAGCCCTTTTTCTAGTTAAAAAGGAGATGGTGAATTGATCACACCCACTCATCATTTACTGAACAGTTATAACAAGCAACATTTTAAAGTGTACCCATTTTAATCATGTTGAAGAGCTTTTTTGGTAACTTGTTTTTCTGTTTTGTTCTTCGTAGAAACGCTCCAGAGGCCAAGTGCTATTTGATAAAGTCTGTGAACATCTGAATTTGCTAGAAAAAGACTATTTTGGGCTTACATATCGAGATGCTGAAAACCAGAAGGTGAGTGGTTCAAAGCAATAGAGAATCTTCTGGCTTCAGCTGCCCTTCACTGCAAAAAAGTGAACTGAAACTGAATCAGTAGATTATATTCTCCACCCACCCCTCACACCCCTCCACCTCACATACACTGTGTGAGGCCCTAAATGCTGTTTATCACCTTATTTCTTCATGAAGGAAATTATCAACAACTTCCTTTAATCTTGAGTCTTTTAGAAACAGTCAGTGTTTCTGCTCTTCATGCTTGAGTTCTTTAGGCTTCCAGAAAAGCATTTTATATAGTGCTTTGGGGAGGGTATGATAATATTTCAGTGGATTTGAGCCACTGAGAATCAAATACATTGATATACAGAAAACATGTTCACTGGATGCCGTTAATTCGTCTTATTACGCTTTCTATATTCTTGCCTCATCACAATATGAGATGTGTCTTGTCTTAGGTATCCAGTCCACCTCCGTAGACTCTTAGAGCTGATGCAGCCTCTTTAGGGCTTTTCCTCACTTATCCTCTCAACCACCTAAAAAATGAGGAAGAAGAAATTGTTTCCTTAATACTGGAAACTGAGCCACCACAATCGTGTTCATAAATGTTACTTGTTTGGTTGTCATCCTGTGAATCATACTTAATCTTGACTGAATTCACTGGATGATGTCTTAACTTCATCATTAAATGCCTGGGTGTTCTGATGAAGAAAATCATAAAGTCTCAAACAAGTGTTCGTTTGTTAGGAACGCATTCTAAGAAGGTGCTTTACAATCTATAATCACAGGAGTCACTACGTGGGGGCTGACCGTCTAGGACATCAGTGGGGTCACGTTACACACAGCCAACTCTACATATTCTCACGTTCTTCATCTGCAGATTCAACCAACAGAAGATCAAAAAATATTTTTTTAGAAAATTCCAGAATGTTCCAAAAGCAGAATTTTTAATTTGCTGGTGTACCAGCAGCTCTTTGTATCGTATTTCCATTGTATTAGGTGTTAGAAATAATCTAGAGATGACTTCAGGTATATGAGGGGATTGCATAGGTTGTGTGCAAATACTGTGCCATTTCATGTCAGGGACTTGAGCATTCCCAGATTTCAGTGTCTTCTGGGCCCTGTGATCAATCCTCTTCAGTGACTGGGGGATGGCTCTACCTTCAGTACTTTTCTCCTAATTTGTTTGAACATAGAATCCACCATCTTTTCTCCGCTGTTTCTATGCTAGCTTGAATCCCTGAAGGCACTTGTGAAATAATTTTGTCCAGCCTCAATCCTGCGCACACACATCTTCTCATGAGACAACAGCCTGGGCCCTCTTGGGACAAGTGAAGTCAGCTGGACTTATTAGGGGCAGGACCCAGCTGGGGGCCCTTCCGGCAGCCGCTCCCTGCTCCCTCCCAAATGCACTTAGCACGTGTCTCTGCCCACTCAACACGAAGTCATTTCTGCTCTTCTCTGATTCATATTCAGACTCTCACTTCTTTTTCAGAACTGGTTGGATCCTGCTAAGGAAATTAAAAAACAGATTCGAAGTAAGTTCCTTTGGATTATTTTGTGTAGAAATGGGAGGAAGATTTTCAAACCATGGGCTTGCCTGAATTAGTATCTCATACCCACGTGGCTGGTGTGGATACAGTATTTTGAAAGACAGATTAAGATCTCAAGTTTTATTTTTGGCAGATTTCTCTGGCTCAGATACCCATCACCTGTTATGAATTATTACAACCTGGGGACAAAAGGACATGACTTTTGACCTAGTCCCTTGCCTGTACACAGATGTGAGATATGATTTAATCAAGCGGTGCCCCTGTTGACAATCATTTTAAAGTTCCAAGCTTAGTTATTAATGTTATATTATGCCTAACCAAAGTATGAAAGGCAAGCAGTCAAGCTAGAAGTAACAGTCATTTAATAACAAGTCAGACTGAATTTTAGTATCTGATGATAGCTTCTTTCCTTAGCCCCTAATGGCAAATTAAGAAATGCACATTTCACATTTCCTAATGGACCAAACAACTACAGGAGCAACACAGAAAGTTTAAAACAGGTAACTACAAGTATTAGACAGGGTGCTAAATCTTAGTAGTAATTAAAAGCTAATTAAAATGAGACATTTTTTCACCTATTCAGTGAAAATGGCACTGTAGTGTAGGGAGTTGAGAATGAGGAATTTTTTAAAATTTTTAACCCTTTTCTATAGCTGTTGCTTTTTGCTATGGATAAATGGTAAAAGATAGATATACTTTATAATTTCAAATAACTAGTTACTTTTTTCAAGCAGTTCATTTTTTATCAATAAAACCTAGTTTAATTTTCCAGAGCAAAGATTTTAAAATTTTAATAATTCCCTACACTGGCAATTTTGTACTCAGTTGGGAGAAATATAACCCTTTAAGAAGACACTTTTTGTCAGTATTTATTAGAATTTAAAAGGTACTTATTCTTTGACCCCTAATTTTACTTGTAGAAGTGTTATCAGTGTATGTGTTAGACAGGAGTATGTACATATGTGTACATGTAGGAAAGTTCATTATAATACCATTGGTATAGCAGAAAACTGTTTCAACTTAAATATCCATGTGTAAGGAAATGATTAAATTGATCATGAAATAGCCATGCCTTGAAATACTAGGTAGCTATTAAATAGAATGAGATAGAATAAATATAGTTTTAGCTCTCATTAATGAGACCTTAAAGAAATAAATCATATTTGTTTAAACAGAATTATGCGTAGGGACTTCTCTGGCAGTCCAGTAGCTAAGACTGCACGCTTCCGCTGCAGGGCGTGAGGGTTCAGAGAACTAAGACCCCCATGTGCGGTGTGATACAGCGCAAAAACAGAGTTGTGTGTATATATATATATATATACACACACACACATGTATATACGTATGTGGATTATTGGGAAGAGCATGAATGTTATTAATAGTAAATACCCCCCAGAAATGTCCCTGCAAGGTAAGGGGTTGAGAACAACTAATTTTTTCTTTAATCCTTTTCTGTAGCTGTTGCTTTTTACTATAGGTAAATGGTAAAAGGTAGATATACTTTATAATTTCAAATAACTAGTTAATTTTTTCAAGCAGTTCATTTTTTGTCCATAAAATCTAGTTTAATTTTCCAGAGCAACTGATTCTATTTGGAGACTAAATTTAAGACCAGTTTATTAATAAGAGCATCATTCCCATCGAAGTTTTCAACAGTTTACTATTAAAAGAGAACAGATCTTTCTAGTGCCTTTGAATGTGCTGAGACCTCCAAATACCCTATGTGCAAATAAAAAGTAATTAGTAGTAAGCAGTTTGAAATGGTTTAATGCTAGGTAATATCTCAAAATAGTGGATTTTTCCTTAGATATTAGAGAGCCTGATGAATTATTTGTACAATGAAAATATCTTCACCATATTTTTGAGAGGAATTTAGTGTCATCACTAACAAGAAACTTGATAATGAAGTAGTTTGATAGAAGTAAATTGGGATTGAAACCAGGGAAAGCTACAGGTGTGATAAATAGGTGAAAACACACCTTTATCCAGAGAGGTCCAGTAAAAACTTTAAGATGATGAATATGTTCTGAGAACCTTTTTATGGAGTTATTAAAAGCAGATGTGCTGAAATATATCTTAGCATTTTGTGTGCTTTATTTAAGTTCTCTGTAGTCACCTAATTAATAAAATACTATTTCATACTTGGGTGATTTATAGTCACAAAGCACTTTGAAAATGTATTAAATGTTCAAGGATAAATCATAGTACTGTTGCAGGAAAGGCTGTATGTATCAACAGGTAGTTTTTTTGCTGTTAATGGAATTCTGTTTTTTTTTTCTTTCTCTCTTTATTTCCCATGTATCCCTTCTCCTACCTTTCTTTCTAAGAGACAAGCTAAAGGGACAATCAGACATGAGATTTAAAGGAAATTTTCCTCATGTAGATTAGACAGTGTTTGTGACAGCAACATAAAACCAAGCGATAATTGTGCAGACAAAGGAGGCACAGAAAATTGGGATTTTGGGGAAATGGAATTTGGTGTTTTTTTCTATATTTCTCATTGTTTCCTATGTACTAAATACCTTCTTTCCACCAAAGTTGCATTCTGTTAGTATCAAGGCAGAAAAGTATTATCAGACCTCATGTAATTATTGTACAATCACCTTCTCTTCTAAACACACATAATAAAAGGATATTTCCATTTTTTTCTTTAAAGATTTTATTTTATTTTATTTTTTTCCATTTATTTTTATTAGTTGGAGGCTAATTACTTTACATCATTACAGAAGTTTTTGTCATACATTGAAATGAATTAGCCATGGATTTACATGTATTCCCCATCCNTATGGAAAACAGTGTGGAGATTTCTTAAAAAGCTGGAAATAGAACTGCCATATGACCCAGCAATCCCACTTCTGGGCATACACACCAGGGAAACCAGATCTGAAAGGATATTTCCATTATTTTTATGTTGTAGGCCCACAGTAGTTCTCTAGCATGAGATTTTCAAGACAATGGCAATCTAGCTGATAGAGATTTTAAATCACAAATTTATGAGAAATAGAAAATTCTGAGCCTGTAGAGTTTGCTCTTATAAAAAAATTCTTATTCTAGTCATCTTTTACGCCTAACAGATCTAAAATTTCTGAATCTACTATCTTAGGGTATAGTGTATTTACAATATAGTGATTTCATGATATAGAATATATGATAGTCATTTATGCTATAAACGTAGTATATTTAGACATTTTAAGATTTGGCAGGCATAGAAGACTAAAGTTAGAATTTTTGCATAATAATTAATTCTCTTTAGTTTCACAGTTTTCTAATTATCATAAATTTGTAATTTAAAAGCCTATATCAGTGTTATAGAATGTCATTTTTATGCACTGAGACTTCCAATTCCGAAGTCTCTAACCAGAGTCATCATTTGAGCAGATTCAGCCTCACAGGCCTATTTATGGCATAACCATAGCTTCTCAGTGATTTGTTCCTACCAAACTCTCTATGGGGATATGTATTTCAGTTTAAATCTGCCCTGCATATTAATTTCAAATTTTATGCCTCATTTCACTGGATTTTTTCCCCTTGATTATGAAATAGATTATATTTTCTTTAAGCTTTCCCACTTTTCAAAATAATGTCCTATGAGACCTCATTGTTATTTGAATTATAATCTTCAGTTCAGTTCAGTTGCTCAGTTGTGTCTGACTCTTTGAGAACCCATGGACTGCAGCATGCCAGGTTTCCCTGTCCATCACCAACTCCCAGAGCTTGCTCAAACTCATGTCCATTGAGTCAGTGATACTATCTAACCATCTCTTCCTCTGCCACCCCCTTCTCCTCCTGCCCTCAATCTTCCCAGCATCAGGGTCTTTTCCATGAGTCAGCTCTTGGCGTAAGGTGGCCAGAGTATTGGAGCTTCAACTTCAGCATCAGTCCTTCTAGTGAATGTTCAGGGTTGATTTCCTTTAGGATGGGCTGGTTTGATCTCCTTGTGGAGATCAGAGCTGTGGAGTAGAGGAGAGTGGAGCCTAGGGATTGGCATTTTTACCAAGCCCCTCAGATGCTTCTCAGGTCCACAGTCCTTTGAAACTCACTTTCCTGTAATGAGGATTTTTGCATTGAAATATCTTTCTTCTATTTTTATTACCTCTTAGTTTCCAACTTAGAGTGTTTACCCTGAATTTATTATGAGTTTGTTTAATTACATTGCTAAATGATTCATTGGATTCACTTTGAAGTGGATGAAAATTATAAAAGAGCAGTAAATCCATTTCCCATAACTAATCCATTCGCTTTCATTCCAGTTGCTTGGGGGTGAGCCAGCTCCCATTATGAACTTCAGCATTGGCAAGTGTTCTGTTTTAGCAGGAAGTGAATAGGAATCAATAGGAGAGTAAAATCAAACCAGATTATTTTTAGAATAACAGGAGGACTTTTTCGAGAACAGGGGGAAAAATAATCACTAAGAATACATTTGATTGACAGATATGTTATGACTTGTAACTCTTAGACCTGATGTTTTGGGAATATTTTCTGGATGGTTTAGAAATGACATGAAACACCCAGTAATAGCTGGTCCCATACTAAGTCCTTTATAAGTCAACTTAAGAGGGATCCCTGCCAGGTGGAAGTCTAAATGTAATATGAGTAATAATGTCAAGAACAAACCAGAATTAATAAATGGACCATGCCATTGATGACAGAAACACAGGTAACCTATGCAGCCTGAGTATGTGCTACTCAAGCAAGAGAATAGTGCAAAGGATAGAGCTGGTGCGTATTTATCATGCTGTCATTTTTCTTGTGAATATTTGGGAAGAACTCGGGGAGAGAATGGAGCTTCCAGGAGTCATGGAATGAGGAGGCAAGGTGGGGTGTGTTAGAAGTCTAGGAAAGCGCTTCCTTGGTGGTTCAGTGGTAAAGAATCTGCCTGCCAATGCAGGAGTCATGGCTTCAATCCCCGGCCCGGGAGAATCCCACGTGCCGAGGAACAACTAAGCCTCTGTGCCACACCTACTGAGCCCGTGCGCCCCAACTAGAGAATAGCGCTCACTCGACACAACTGGAGAAGGCCCACGTGCGGCAACAAAGACCCAGAGCAGTCATAAGTAAAATAAAGAAAGAACATCTCAGAATGTGTTTGAAGCATAAAGGTGGGACTGCAAGGACACGAATCACAGAGCGAAAGGAAGAGTGTGGCTCAGAGGAAAGGCCTCCAGCACCAAAGCTGGGAGACCCCGAGGCTCTTCTGTGCAGCCATTAAGAACCAGCAGGCCCTCACGGTGTGCTCACTGGGTGGAGCGAGCAAAGGAAAACAGTTCCCAGCCCAGGAGCACTCAGGCCTCCGTAATGTGCCCCGTTAAAAGGTCAGACGGAGAGAGCAAGATGAAAATACATGACAGGCTGACCAGAGAGAAAGTACATGTTGAAAAGAAGAAAAGATGGTTTGTTTTTTTTTTTCCACATTTAAGGTCATAAACCCGGTTAAGTGTATATAAGTAGTGAAAGTTTTAAGCCGCTCAGTCGTGTCCGACTCTCTAAGACCCCATGGACGGTGACCCGCCAGGCTTCTCTGTCCATGGAATTCTCCAGGCAAGAATTCTGGAGTGGGTAGCCTTGCCTTTCTCCAGGGAATCTTCCTGACCCAGGGATCGAACCTGGGTCTCCCGCATCACAGGTGGATTCTTTACCTTCTGAGCCAGAGAGGATGAATCAAAGGCAGACCTCAGGGAGGCTCGTGATGTCTCACATATGTGTGTAGACTGGCCCGAGAGCAGGTGCCAGTGAGCTGATGTCTGGTTGACCCGCTTCCCCACTGGAGAGGCCAGAAGAGATGCCAGAGGAAGAGGAATGGCAGCCTGCAGTGAGGACCCATCCTGATCAGGGGATGATGAGGAGGGGTGGGTTTGGGGATGCACAGAAAATACCCCTAGTGTCTCTTTAATCAGAAACTTCCCCGAGTAAGAAGAGAGCTTTCCGAATGACCCATAGAGCAGATCATCCCTTAGTATGACAGCAGACCTTTCCTGTAAAATAAAAATATTTTGAACAGCCCCTTGACACATGTTATTAGGGGATCTGATCCATACAAATGAAGCAGACAAGACAAAGGTAACAGGTTTATCTCTGCAGTGTTGGGATGTGAGCTCCCCAGAGCTTCAGAGGATGGAGCCAGGCAGCTCCAGACTTGTACATTGAGACCTTTCCATACCGTTTACTATTTTCCCCTCTTCCCAAAGCCTGCCTTCGTCCCTGAGAAAGGGAGCAAGTTTAGTCAATTTCCTTGTTGGTTAGAAGCTCCAGTAAAGGATTCGATGGAAGAAAAGATTAGAGACTGAATGAAGCTGCCACGTTACCTGCGGATTTCACTGAACAGAAAAGTCACCATTTTCCAGGGATGATTCAGAGTTGCCAGCGGGTTCATGCCTAGAGTTAGGACAGCTCTAGCTATCAGTTAGTATAATAAGTACCAAAGGATTGTCTGCAATTTTGTTATAAATTTTTTCTCCTCTCCATAGGTGGTGCTTGGCACTTTTCGTTTAATGTGAAATTTTACCCACCAGACCCTGCCCAGCTCTCTGAGGATATCACCAGGTATTTGAAAGTTGGCTGTGAAAAAGTCAGTCATATTGGGGGCTGTCTTCTCTTAAATTCCGGGGAAGGGAGCAGGTTTAAACCTGGTGAACCTCTTAGTCCTCAGCGCCCAAAGGGCAAACAGAAGACAGCTGAATGGGAGCAAACATCTGATAAGAAGATTTGCCCAATCGTATCTGTTCACAGTTGAATCTTTGGTGTTAAGCTGATACTTCCCACTGCCTGACCCTGGTGGGGAAACACATGGAATTGAGATGCTGTCATCCTCCCACTGCAGTCAAATTGGATGGGATTCAGCCTGAAATAATATGGCAACTCCTGGTGCTCCTGCTTTAAAACTTGGAAATGTGTCTTCAGATGCATATGCCTTTGTATATAACCAGTCTGATGTGTTGGTGGCTGTTTTGTGTATTTGTGTATGCGTACACACAGGCTTGCACACACACCCAAATACACATAAACATATGTACATTTAAGAGTTTACCTTCCATGCCTTCGGAATACGAGGAAAGTGATTAATTTGTTTTGGGGAAAGAACATTTAGAAAGGAATGTAGGCCTGGCCCAGTGGCTGAGCTTTGAGTGAAAGGAAGAATCTTTTTATGAAGTGATCCTGGGTTTGCTGCATGTGTTTTTAGGCCTCTTGAAATGCTTTCTGCTTTGGAATCCCAGGTTTTCTCACTGTGTTTTGTAGTAAGTTTATAAGCAGTCAGAGTGATACTGCACAGTGTGGCTATACATCCTTCTTGGGAAGCTTTTCAGGAGAGAGAAATTACTCAAAAAGTTTCAGTCACTTGCTATGATGAAAAATAATTCCAGTAGACATGTCGGAGAAGAGGAAAAACTAGTTCCAGACGATTTCTTTTATATTTCCATTAAATCAAAGAACAATTTATAGTTTCTTATTTATATATACGTTCTAGTAATGTTGAAGGACCATTTAATTGTGGCTAATTTGTGGTTAGACAGCCTGTATATACTTGGACACGGAATCTAGTGCATGATTCCTTTCTATTTACGTCATGTTTATTGTTCAGTCGCTAAGTCCTGTTCAACTCTTTGTGACCCCACGGATGGCAGCACGCCAGGCTCCTCTGTCTTCTACTTTCTCCTGGAGTTTGCTTAAATTCATATCCATTGAGTTGGTGCTGCTGTCTAACCGAATAGAACCTGTGAAATTTGTAGAAATTTTTGTATCTAGATTGCACAGCACTTACATCATCAGCTTTTAAAGCCATATTGAGAGGGGACCTTAAGACTTAATCATAGCCCTCAGCTTCAGCAGATTAACAGTCTGTTTCTTATGTGAAAAGTGCAAGGTATATTTTATTATTTATACTCATATGCTGGGCTGTGAAGAGTATCATTAAAATTCATCAATGTTCCCATTTACTGTGGAGTCTTCTGCAATTAGTATTATATCTGTAACTCTTAGAAGCAAACTAACAGAAGATAAAAGTCAACTATTAATGGAGATACTTAATATTGGCAAAATGATACCAAAGGTGTTCTGGATTCCACCCAGTTTAAAATTGTTTACTTTTAGTGATGAGATTTTAAGTACAAATTCTTCAAAGTTAGTCTTCATAACAGTTGAATAAGTTATCAACATTTTAAAAAATGAGACTTTAACACAGGAGAAGGCATCCACTATAAAGAGACCCTCATTTCAGGATGCAGGAGGTGGCAAGCCGTGTTTGTGATGGCACAGCCACTGTTTATCTTGGTCCTATGGCAGGACCTTTCATCTAGATAGCAAAATGAGCCGTCCTTTAGGTGTTGGGGCCTCATCATTATATTCAAGAGCACTGTTTTAATATAGAATTGCCTTCCCCCTGCCCAGAGAGCTTGACCTTCAACATCACCTTAGTGTTAGAGGAACAGTCCGTAGGTTTCCTTTACCTCATGCATCATGAATGCATCTGTGTTTGATGACGAACATGGAGTTGCCGCTAGATGCCCTTAAATATTACATTTTGTGGCCAAGTGTATTTTCCTTTGGTATGGAGATCCAAGTAGAGATGCTGGACAGTGTATCCCAGCGGGTCGTTCTGCAGGGAGAGGCTGCTTGCTGCCCACTGGGGGCTGCGCGGGCCCCTTTCCAGTCTCCTAACTGACCTCCGCCCACCCTCTGGCCCCGAAGGTACTACCTCTGCTTGCAGCTGCGCGACGACATCGTGTCCGGCAGGCTGCCCTGCTCCTTCGTCACGCTGGCCCTGCTGGGCTCCTACACCGTCCAGTCGGAATTGGGCGACTACGACCCGGACGAGTGTGGCAGCGACTACATCAGCGAGTTCCGCTTCGCCCCAAACCACACGAAAGAACTGGAAGACAAGGTCATCGAGCTGCACAAGAGCCACAGGTGAGCAGCAGGGGCCCCGAGAGCATCCTGTCTGAGCTGTGCTCAGTGGGTGGGCGTCCCCTGCACCGCCTGCTTCTCCTGGGACCTCCAGGTTAATGCCTTGAGGATGGGACACAGTGGAGTGAGGTTCTGGGTCTGATACATTCTGCGTAGTTGGAGCTTCTGCTCCCACTTAGGATGTCCTTGTGCTGTTTCAGCTAAAAGTCATTTTTCTGATATTCTCCCCCGTACCCCACCTCCCTTAGAGCACAAATCAGTGTCTCTCTGGGAACTTGCACATAAGCTAAGTAGGAAATATTACAGCCCCACCAGGTTCAAAGTCTTCCCTGGTGGCTCTGGGAGTAAAGAATCCGTCTGCAATGAGGGAGACCCAGGTTTGCTCTCTGGGTCAGGAAGATCCCCTGGAAAAGGAAATGGCAACCCACTCTAGTATTCTTGCCTAGAGAATTCCATGAACAGAGGAGCCTGGTGGGTTACAGTCCATGGGATCACAAAGAGTTGGACGTGACTGAGCAACTAACACTTTCTTTCACCAGGTTTATAAAAAAAAAAAAACAGTGTTATAATTAATACTTTTCATTTCTTATCAGAGGAATGACGCCAGCAGAAGCAGAGATGCATTTTTTGGAAAACGCCAAAAAACTCTCCATGTATGGGGTCGATTTACACCATGCCAAGGTATACACTTTAACACTCCAGACTTTCTGATTTCATGGAAGTGTGTACAAGGCCCAGTTGTCACAAATGTTGTGTGCTAAGTTGCTATGTATACCCTTGTTCTGTACATCCACCAAGGCAGTCAGTAAATTCTTATTAAATTTTTAAAACTCTCTGTAAAGTTTGGGCTTCCCTGGTGGCTCAAATGGTAAAGAATCTGCCTGCAATGTTGGAGACCTGGGTTCGATCCCTGGATTGGGAAGATTCCCCTGGAGAAGGGAATGGCAACCCATTCCAGTATTCTTGCCTGGAGAATTCCATGGACAGAGGTTATAGTCTGTGGAATCACAGAGTCGGATACAACTGAGCTACTAACACTTTTATTTTCATAAGGTTTAGATGCTGTGACAAAGAATCAGTGCTTTGAAATAAGAGGATTATTTTGGAGTTCAAGTAAAGTTAGCCAGCCAGGCTAAGTCAATGGGGAGTTGTTGAGGCTGTATCTTGGTTCCAGGGTCTCGGGAAGAGAGAAGTTGGGGTTGGAAGATAGGCGGGTTGAGGTTGGGGAGAAAGTACTAGCTGCTTTTACTCCCTGTCATACTTTTCCTGGAATCGTATTTTTCAACAGTGAGAGAGTGAGCATTGGAATGTTAGTCTGTTATCTAACAGCTGTGAATAGAAGCTTTCCTGAAATCTTGTATCATCAAAGCACAGAAGATATGGTAGGCTCTTAGAGATGGATTCTGGTCCTTCAGCAGTGTTGAAGAGATCCATGCTTGAAATTGGGGGGCAGCTGCTTCTGACTTGGACGGATACAATGGCGTCCTCCTGGTAGGGACATGCCTTGACTTCCGGTGGACAGAGTGGCATTGTCTCACGGTCCAGACCACAGAAGAACGTGCATGTAACAGGTTGCCGGGCGAGCGAGTGTCTTATACAGTCAAGTTTGGGGCCAATAATTGAGGAAGGTTTTGGCAGGCTCTGTTTGGGCAAACATCTCAACAACGCTGGGGACCCCTGGGAGGGAAATACATGATCTTTCTGTTGATGCTGCATTTGGGAAGCTGATGGGTTTAGGATGAGTTTGGACAAGATAATAATGAGGAACAAATGAGCGCCATTCTGACTAGGTTTGTCTGTGGATCATTTGTACATCACTCAGGATGAGCAACTTCTGAGGCTCGAAAGCCCCAACACGAGCAGGATCTCTGAGACTCGGCTGGGGCTTCACGGGCGGACGCTGGTACTGCAGAGCCTAGAGCCCCGACATCTGTGTGTAATTATAGCAGCAGGAGTGGCTCTGTTTACTTGCCAGTTAATTATTACAGGTTTTCACGTACTTGGCCCTCAGATCACATAGCGTTTCATAGTTTTGTCAGCTATAAGGTAGGGTGAGGAATTAGAAAACAAGGACACGTACTAAGATTGTTTTTCTCAGAGTTTTTCCCTGCATGGCCAAAAGATAAAGAAAAAAAAAAAAAAACAGTGTTATAATTAATACTTTTCATTTCTTATCAGAGGAATGACGCCAGCAGAAGCAGAGATGCATTTTTTGGAAAACGCCAAAAAACTCTCCATGTATGGGGTCGATTTACACCATGCCAAGGTATACACTTTAACACTCCAGACTTTCTGATTTCATGGAAGTGTGTACAAGGCCCAGTTGTCACAAATGTTGTGTGCTAAGTTGCTATGTATACCCTTGTTCTGTACATCCACCAAGACAGTCAGTAAATTCTTATTAAATTTTTAAAACTCTCTGTAAAGTTTGGGCTTCCTTGGTGGCTCAAATGGTAAAGAATCTTCCTGCAATGTTGGAGACCTGGGTTCGATCCCTGGATTGGGAAGATTCCCCTGGAGAAGGGAATGGCAACCCATTCCAGTATTCTTGCCTGGAGAATTCCATGGACAGAAGTTATAGTCTGTGGAATCACAGAGTCGGATACAACTGAGCTACTAACACTTTTATTTTCATAAGGTTTAGATGCTGTGACAAAGAATCAGTGCTTTGAAATAAGAGGATTATTTTGGAGTTCAAGTAAAGTTAGCCAGCCAGGCTAAGTCAATGGGGAGTTGTTGAGGCTGTATCTTGGTTCCAGGGTCTCGGGAAGAGAGAAGTTGTGGTTGGAAGATAGGCGGGTTGAGGTTGGGGAGAAAGTACTAGCTGCTTTTACTCCCTGTCACACTTTTCCTGGAATCGTTGTATTTTTCAACAGTGAGAGAGTGAGCATTGGAATGTTAGTCTGTTATCTAACAGCTGTGAATAGAAGCTTTCCTGAAATCTTGTATCATCAAAGCACAGAAGATATGGTAGGCTCTTAGAGATGGATTCTGGTCCTTCAGCAGTGTTGAAGAGATCCATGCTTGAAATTGGGGGGCAGCTGCTTCTGACTTGGACGGATACAATGGCGTCCTCCTGGTAGGGACATGCCTTGACTTCCGGTGGACAGAGTGGCATTGTCTCACGGTCCAGACCACAGAAGAACGTGCATGTAACAGGTTGCCGGGCGAGCGAGTGTCTTATACAGTCAAGTTTGGGGCCAATAATTGAGGAAGGTTTTGGCAGGCTCTGTTCGGGCAAACATCTCAACAACACTGGGGACCCCTGGGAGGGAAATACATGATCTTTCTGTTGATGCTGCATTTGGGAAGCTGATGGGCTTAGGATGAGTTTGGACAAGATAATAATGAGGAGCAAATGAGCGCCATTCTGACTAGGTTTGTCTGTGGATCATTTGTACATCACTCAGGATGAGCAACTTCTGAGGCTCGAAAGCCCCAACACGAGCAGGATCTCTGAGACTCGGCTGGGGCTTCACGGGCGGACGCTGGTACTGCAGAGCCTAGAGCCCCGACATCTGTGTGTAATTATAGCAGCAGGAGTAGCTCTGTTTACTTGCCAGTTAATTATTACAGGTTTTCACGTACTTGGCCCTCAGATCACATAGCGTTTCATAGTTTTGTCAGCTATAAGGTAGGGTGAGGAATTAGAAAACAAGGACACGTACTAAGATTGTTTTTCTCAGAGTTTTTCCCTGCATGGCCAAAAGATAAAGAAACAAGACAAAAATGAAGGTAGCTTAGAAACTGGAGTGAATCAAAAGCTATTTTTGATACATACGATGACTCACTCACTACCCAGGGAGAATAAATAAATGAAAGGTGAGGGCCTCTGTTTAGGAGAAGGGCAGCTCAGGATGTGTCACTGTTCCTATCAGGAAAAATGAAGCCACTTAACATGGCTGTAATGACTAAATTAAAATAGATGGCTGGTTTTTCATTCGATAATGTGATTTGAAATTAGGCCAATTAAAAAAGAAAGAATTAAGGAAGTGCCAGTGCCGCCTGTGATAGGATTTCATCTGAATGCTAAGTATAACAAACGATATGGTTATGGACTTCATTTTCTCCTGCAGCCGCCCTCCATCATTTCAAGGAGGAAATTTACCGAATTACATTAAAGCTAATTTCCGGTTATAAGTGAGATGCTTCTCTTCTGTGGATAGTATCGAAAGGCCCTGAGTTTTAGGACCTAGTTAGAAATTCTGAACTGTGATCTTGGACGCAACAGCTCTCAATGAAGAATAAATAACCTACATTCGGTGAAGGTGCCTTGTTTTGGAAAAACCTGTTTTTAATGCTTTGTTTTTTTCCTTAAGAAGACTGTCTCTGCTTGTTGGTCATTTAACATCACTCTGAATAGGCTCTGTCAGAGTCATTTATTTCATACAAGATTCAGAAATGTAGATATAAATCCATATTGGATATCCTATGGACCTTTATTATCCGAGATAATAAAGAATGGGGTTGGAACAGTGCTTTTAGATTGAGGAATGGTAGATTTGTTTATTTTAAGTGGGACAGGCTGAGACTGTCCAGGTCTTTCATCAATGTTCCCTGCTAAACACACGTCCCCAAACACATGGTTATAGCTTTTGATACAGTTTGTCAAGTTACTGCCTCAATGCTATGGACTGCAGCAGAAACCTAGATACCAAAGTGAAAATCGCTCAGTTGTGTCTGGCTCTTTGTGACCCCATGGACTATACAGCCCATGGAATTCTCCAGGTCAGAATACTGGAGTGGATAGCCTTTCCCTTCTCCAGGGGATCTTCCCAACCCAGGGATAGAACCCAGGTCTCCCACATTGCAGGCGGATTCTTTACCAACTGAACCATAAGGGAAACCCCTAGATATCAAAAGTATCCTTTTTTTAATCAACAAGAACCTATTGGCTAGCACATGGAACTCTGCTCAATGTTATGTGGCAGCCTGGATTGGGGGTGGGGTTTGGGGGAGAATAGATACATGTGTATGTATAGCTGAGTCTCTTCACACATCACCTGAAACTATCACAGCATTATTAATTGGCTATACCCCAAAACAAAATGTTCAAAAGAAAAAAAATAATAATCCATTTTTTGGTTGCTATGCCTTTAGTGAAATGGAAACATTCATCCAATTTTAAGCCCTGCTTATTCCTGACATTTTCTTTCTTCGTTTGCTTTTTCTTCCAACCCATTCGTAGTAGCTTAACATGTGCTAGGCAGGTGCCATGCTGAGCGCATAGGTCACTGAGATAAACAGCAGGTTCTCCACCAGCCTGGGTCGGGAGCAGGAGGAAGGGGAGTTTGGGGCAGCACACTTGCCCGTGGTGTGCTGGCCCCAGTGATGATATGGGGCCACCGGAGAAGTGAGTGTGTGTTGGAGGCCCTACGATTAGTTTCCCATCTTCTCATGGTTCAAAGACACTCATGAGTGATGTATAACCGATAATACTGGAAGAGGTTGTAAATGTCCAAAAGCGTGTTTCCTACACTAGTTCTTCATCACAAAGACCGTGACTCAGGAGCACTTATTCCAGCAGCCCTGCTCATGCACACATGTCTGCTTGAGGCCTGAGGGGTCACCTGGGTGGTCCCGAGAGCAGATCATCTGGATCTAAGCATCCACCATGCCCGCTATGTCCAGTGTCAGGTGAGAGCTCTGTAAACTGCACTTATAGTTACAGCCCTTGATAAATGGTGGGTGGTCTCTGGTCTCTGAATTCCCCTGAAATCTGATTACGTTGTCATATCCTGCCATCAATTCCTTCCGCCTCTCTAGAGTGAGGTCGTGTCTAATGGAGCAGTACGTTTCCAGGGAGAAATGTTTCATTTTAAGTCAATTAGATTGTATGTGTAACTTCACCATGCCCAGAGAGGGACCAGAATACTTATTTTGACTCCGGAAATGTTCCTTCTGTGCTTTGTACTGGCGGGACTTAGGATGTCAGTCCACCCACCCCCATGCGGATGAGTCAGAAGCCCCTGTCTGGATTCTTTTGCGTGTCTCTCCCCACTTTGCTGGGGCTGCAGTGACTCAGTGAGACAGCCCTGACAATGACGTGTCCTCAGACCTCAGCTTTGCCTCTCCGTGACCCTGTTTTCCAACAGCCAGTGAGAAACGAGTGGGGGGCCCTGCCTCACACACAGCCCCGCCTTCTGCACTTTGTCCTTAGCCCACATAGGACACCACTGATACTCTCTTCACCCTGATCTCACCTGAACACAACACTGGGGGGACACAGACGGGTCGTGGGGTGTCTCCTGAGCTTCACATAACATCTCTGATGACCCCCGGGACCCCTCATCACACCTCCCTAGGAAATGACCTAAAGATGTAGTATGCAGGTAGCTAAAGCAAGTGCAAATACAGCACGATCCCCCTTTTGTTTTTGTTTTTTTTTTTTTTAAAAAGGCCTAGGACTTCCCTGGTGGTCCAATGGTTAAGACCTTCCAATGCAGGGGATGTAGGTTCAATTCCTGCTTGGGGAGCTAAGATCCCCACATGCCTCGCAGAGAAAAGCAATAATGTAACAAATTCAATAAAAGACTTTAAAAAAAATCTGCATCAAAAAAAATCTATTAAGAACAAACCTATACATATATATTAAGTGCCTCTGTATTTTTTGTACGTGAACCAAGTGATTAAGTGAGCACCAGTGGGTGGTGAGTGTATGTTGGGGGCCTGTTGGGGAGGAGGTGCAGACTTTAAAAAACTATTTTATACTCAAATTTTATAATGGTATATTAAAAAAATCAAGGCTCTTTTTAAAACAACAAACCCCAAAACACTCATAGTAAAGGATGGGGCCTGTCTGCTAGTGTCCATATTAGTTAAGTACTGCCCCTGGAAACAGGCTGCTCATATTCAGCTGGGATGGAAATCTAACCTTTCTGTGCCTTGGTCTTCTTGCCTATAAAGTAGGAATAATAAGAGCAACTAGCTCAGAACAATGCTAGTGAAGATTAGTAATGTATGCGGTCCGGCCAGGCCTGGTACCCAGCGACGAGAACCCAGGCTCTGAACACCACTGTGATTAACACACCTTCACCTGGGTGACGTTCTCTATGTGCAATGTGGACATCGCAAGTCCAAGATGCCTGGGTGAACAGAGTTTCCGCTAACAGATCTCCATAGCAATGAATATCTTCATCAGAAGGCTATTATTTAGTGGTAATGTGTTTTAAATGGCTGCAGTATTTTTCATACTTAAATCTGAGCTACAGGCAAGCCTTTTATAGGTTCCAACCTGGAGGCTTAAATAGTGTACCCAGCCATAAATGGAAATAGATGAGTTGCTCATCCTTCTTTTCTTTTTTGAATCTTGTCTTTTATACTGGGGTACAGCCGATTAACAATGTTGGTAGTTTCAGCTGAACAGCCAAATGAAATCGAAAGTAGCTCAGTCATGTCTGACTCTTTGTGATCCCATGAACTATGCAGTCCGTGGAATTCTCCAGGCCAGAGTACTGGAATGAGTCGCCTTTCCCTTCTCCAGGGGATCTTCCCAACCCAGGGATCAAGCCCACATCTCCTGCATTGCAGGTGGATTCTTTACCAGCTGAGCCACCAGCCCAAACAGCCAAGGGATTCAGCAATACATAGACACGTATTACGTTTTAACTGTCTTTCTAGATGACCATTTTTGTAGATGCATTATTTTTCTCTATGGCTTTGATACTCTAACTTTGTCTTCTAAAAGATAGCATGTAGTTGAATCCAATTTAGGCCTCTGTTATCATTCATTGATCTCTTTATTCTTGTGCCATGTATCACATGATGCAGTTGCATTTCATTTAAAATATACTTTGATACCTGATAAGCCTAGGACTCCTTCATTACCATTCCTTGTTTCTCGCTGCTGTTTTTCAGGATTCTGAAGGAGTCGACATCATGTTAGGAGTGTGTGCAAGTGGTTTGTTGATATATCGTGACCGACTTCGCATCAACAGATTTGCCTGGCCAAAGGTTCTAAAAATTTCATACAAACGGAACAACTTTTACATTAAGATCCGGCCAGGAGAGGTAGGTAGACCCCAATTTGCATGTACGTTGGGAAGAAAGTTACCAAAGAACCAAAAGAAAATTTTTCTAAATTTTTTTTAGTAGAAATTTACCTGGCCAGCAGCTTTATTAAGATAACTTTGTGACAGTAGATAGTCAATAAAAGTATTTGATAGAAATGTTTAAGAAGAGTTCAAAAATGAAAATTCATAATTACATTGTTATTTGCACCCATGGACTTTATTTGTGGGTTACCCTAGTGTAGTGGATCAGTGGTAAAGAAGCCGCCTGTCAATGCAGAAGTGGGTTCTATCCTGGGTCAGGAAGATCCCCTGGAGAAAGAAATGGCAATCTACTCCAGTATTCTTACCTAGGAAACCCCATGTACAGAGGAGCCTGGTGGGCTTCAGTCCATGGGGTCTCAAAGAGTCAAGACATGACTTAATGACGGAACAACAGCAACTCTTATTTGTAAAATATTTAATAATAAAATAAAAAATAAAAGTTTGTCTATTTAATCCTAAACCAAGAGGTTTAAAGACTTTTCTGATAAGATTAATGAATGTGAAAGACAAAAGAATGATCAAACAGAAGTTTAAATCCCCTGCTCACGTGTTTGAAACATGGCAGGACATAGTGAGTTATAGCCAACTGCCTAAGAGAATTTACTGTAGGTTTGTCCAAAAAACAGTAATGCATAAAATCTTGTCTTCCCTTTTTATTGTTTTGTTCTAATTTTTCCCCACTGCATACATTAATTGAATGATTTTTTTCCTTTTGCATATTTTAGTGTAAAAGCAGGATTCATGAATAATGCTTTGTATTTTTTTGTGCTGTGGTAGAAAAGACACTTAGTTGCTAAACCTCTTTGTGAATTAAGAATAGATTTCTTCCCCATCTGTCCTGTTGTGCTGTCTCTGCATCCTCTGTCTTTGTCCTCCAAATCTGATAGCATCCTAAAGGGAATAACATAGAGATAGTGTGCTTCAAAGTGTAAGAAAGATTAGAGAAAGCAAAACTGGGTGTAAATTATGCAAGTTCAGTAGCCTGATACATTTCTCCTCTTTCGTTTTTCAATCAGAGAGACTAATGAAAGAATCAGAATTGTTAACTAATCTTTGTTCCTTAGGCAGAAACATCCGTGATTAACTTACAGCCTCCTAGTGGTTCCATATCTGTTTCTTGCCAACATTGTACTTGTTCAGTCACTAAGTCATGTCTGACTCTTTGTGATCCCATGGACTGCAGCATACAAGCTCCTCTGTCCTCCACTATCTCTTGGAGTTTGCTCAAATTCATGTCCATTGATGCCATCATGTCTGGTGATGCCATCTAACCATCTTATCCTCTGCCACACCCTTTTGCCTTCAGTCTTTCCCAGCATCAGCGTCTTTTCCACATAATATATAGTAAATATCTGCTGTTATCTCATAACAGATAATATATATGTCCAATTTCTAATGAAAGTAGTTAATATAATGGAAGTAGCCCTGATTGCAGCTAATCTAGTCTCTACATTTTCTGATAGAATATAAAATTACCTCCTGTCTTCGAAATCAACTTCTCCACGGGTGGAAAATGCAATTTCAAGCATCACTATATGGAGTATAATGGTTACAGTAGTTCATAACACTATACTGTATATTTGAAATTGCTGGTAGAATAGATCTTAGAAGTTCTTATCATAAGAAAACAAGATTGTAACTCTGTGCGGTGATGGATAATTAATTTGCCTCATATGGTAGTCATTTCACAAAATGTACAAACATCAAAACATTATGTTGTACAGCCAAAGCTAATATAATGTTATATATCAGTTTTGTTCTCAAAAGTTTAAAGAATCAGACTATAAAGCAGGCAATCGTGTTTCCTGTAAATATAGAGTCAAACTTGTATTTGAAGACTGAAATAATCTACAAGCTTTTCATATTAAATACATGAAATTAAATTCATTTTTTATATTTCCTTAAGACTGCATGTTATGACCAAGATATATTTGATTTATGAAGCATTTATTAAGTGAGCATCTATCTATTGCCAAGAACTGTGTTGGGCCAGCTTCCCAGGTGATGCTAGTGGCAAAGAACACGCCTGCCAATGCAGGAGACATATGAGACTCGGGTTTGATCCCTGGGTCAGGAAGATCCCCTGGAAGAGAGCATGGCAACCTACTCTAGTATTTTTGCCTGGAGCATCCCTTGGACAGAGGAGCCTGGTGGGCTACATTCCAAAGGATTGCAAAGAGTCAGACACAACTGAAGCGTGAATTTTCACAACCCTGAATATTCATTGGAAGGACTGATGCTGAAGCTGAAGCTCCAATACTTTGACCACCTGATGCGAAGAGCCGACTCGTGGGAAAAGACCCTGATGCTGGGAAAGATTGAAGGCAGGAGGAGAAGAGGACGACAGAGATGATTGAATGGCATCAGTGGACTCGAGACTGAGCAAACTCTGGGAGATGGTGGAGGACAGAGAAGCCTGGTGTGCTGCAGTCCACGGGGTCACAGAGAATGGGACACAACTGTGTTGGGCATTGAGGATAGAAAAATAAATGTGACCTTGTTCCTGTCCTGGAGGGAGTTTCTGTTTTGCAGAGAAACAGGCTGAGACAGTTGGAATCACAGAGTCATGATCCAAGTGTGATAATATTCCTTAAATGAGGAGTGAACGTAGTGTGAGGGGCCAGAAGGGGAAGCCAGAGCAATGCATCAGGAGACCACCATGAGCCTTGGGAGCTTTAAACTGGGATGTGACATACTCGGTGGATATTTTGGGATAAGATTCAGTGACTTAGTAATGTGATATGATGGGACCTAAAGTAGGGCAGAGGCTGTGGGAATAGACTGGAAGGAGCACATTTGAGAGAGAGAGGTGTCAGAGGCAGAGCCCGTGGGCCCTGCAGACAGGATGCAGGAAGGATCAAAGGAAGAAAGAAGAGAGTCCAGTAAAATCAGAGGGCTTTGGGTTTGCATGAGCGAGGTTGATGGCGATGATATTAGATAAGAAAGAAAAGTGGGGAGAGTTTCAGAAAAAAAAAAAGATTGACATTTCTTGGCAACAGAGTTTTGGGTAATGGTGATCCTAGCATAGTAAGAAATAAAAGATTTGAAGAGTGTCTTCAACTGTATAATACATTTTATTCAAGGCCTTAGGCCTGGAAGAAATTACCGAAAAACAAGTAATTCTTGTTCAACGAGGAACAAGCTGGGGAAAGCCCCTAAGACAAAAATTATGGGTAGCACCACTTTTTCTTTGGCCTTTTTGGCTAAGAGCAAGTGTAGTATAGGGCTTCCTTGGAGGCTCAGTGGTAGAGAATCTGCCTGCTAATGCAGGAGCTTCAAGAGACACAGGTTCAATCCCTGTGTGAGGAGGGCATGGCAACCCACTCCAGTATTCTTGCCTGGAGAATCTCATGGACAGAGGAGCCTGGCTGGCTACAGTCCATGGGATTACAAAGAATCAGAAACTGAGCGTGCACACGGACATGTGCGCACACGTGCACAGACACAAACCACTTTTAAGGGAGGGGTTGGCAGAAGAGGGCCAGATGCAGATGAAGAAAAGCATCCAGAGAAGAAAAGAATGACCAGAAACAGTCATGGCTTATAAGTAAGGGAGATGAGATGCAGTGGATGTGGTTCACCAGCAGAACCAAATGGGGCAGAGGAGCCTCTCGGATGAGAACAGAGAAAAGTGGGTTGAACTTGACAGTCAGCTCCCGTTGAGACAGTAAGAGCTCAGAAAGGAGTGAGGACCTGGCAGGTGGCACCCCGCTGAGGAGTGGACGAGAGAGGCTTCTCCTCCTGCCCCTCAGCCCTGATCCTGCTTCTGCAGAAACAAGCTCAGAGAACGTCCTCCCCGGCCTCACTTCTTACAACCGTATTTATAGGCTTAGAAGAAAGAATGAGAAGGAATTACTGGTGGCACAAAGGCTCCGAAGAAGTTGAAAGAAGTGAATCCAAAGCACAGAGAAAGATAAACGTTCAAAAGTGCTGGGCCCTTTCTCATCCTTGTGCTGAGGAGACTCTTCTGAAAACCCCGCCCTCAGCATCACAGTGTGCGGTCCTTCAGCATAGCGTGTGGTCCGTGTGAGATGCAGGATGAACACATGGAAGATGGTTTACTTGAGGCCCCTGGTCCTCGGCCTGTCACTTGACTGGGTCCACTGGATGGGGTGAGTTCCATGACCACCCCATGACCATCAGAGAGAGGGAGAATTTGGGGAAAGCAACTGCATTTACAGTCACCCTTGAAGTTCCTCCCCATCTCCCCCGCCCAGTCCCACTCAACGAACAAGGAAGAGAGGGGTCCAGCATCATGAAAGCTCACATGCCTTGCCCAGGACCCCTCCCTTGGTTCTTTGCCATGGAATTTCCTTTTGCTGCTGATTATACCAGTAGTCTGGTGGGTTTGAGCTCTATGGGGAAGGCTTTACTGTTTAAGATGATTGCCCTCTGGTGGCCTGATGGATCCTGTCTTCAGAAAAATTTTTTTTAATTATTGAGTATTTGCCATAATAATATTAAAATCTGTTACTCAGGAAATTAGCTATTTCACTTTGGAGTGAATGTCATCTCAAGTCTACATACTGACAAATATGAAAATGCCTTCTCCCAATCTTTGATCTTATGCAGTCGGGCCTTCTCATCCCAAGATTCTGCATCTGTGGATGCAACCAATCATGGATCAGAAATATTCAGGGGGAAAAAATATTCCAGAAAATTCTGAAAAGCTAAAAACTTGAATTTGTTGCAACTATTTCCATAGCATTTTACATTGTATTTCAACTCTTCCCCTAGATTTACATTGTGTTAGGTTTTATAAGTAATCTAGAGATGATTCAAAGTCTGTGGGAGGGTTGCGTATGTTATATGCATATACTAGGCTATTCTATGTAAGAGACTTGAGCATCGATGGGTTTTGTTATCCAGGGAGGGCCTGGAACCTGTCCCCTTGGATCTTGAAGGACGACTGTGTACAGTGTTGGGAGATGTTAGCATCTAACATGATAATCCATGTTGTTGTTCTTGTTCAGTCGCTCAGTCGAGTCTGACTCTTTGAGACCCCATGGGCTGCAGCACGCCAGGCTTCCCTGCCCTTCACTATCTCTCAGAGCTTGCTCAAACTCACGTCCATTGAGTCAGTGATGCCATCCAACCATCTCATCCTCTGTCACCCCCTTCTCCTCCTGCCCTCATTCTTTCCCAGCATCAGGATCCTTTCCAATGAGTCATCTCCTCACATGGGGTGGCCAGAGTATTGGAGCTTCAGCTTCAGCGTCAGTCCTTCCAACGAACAAATAAAATCGGCGATGTCTGATACCAAGTCATCAGATACATAGAATATATGCATATTTCTAGACCAGATAGATACAAGGAGAGTCTGTCATCCTGAGGCTGCTGTAGACTCGAAATGTTTTATTCATTTCTGTGTGTTCCAGCTGAGGTCATGATGTCAGAGAGAAACCATGAAAATTAGGCTTAAACGATCAGGACAAATTGGTCTCTGGAAGGAATACAAATTCTCTCCTTTTCTGCATTTAGTTTTCATAAGATTAATCCTTGTACATGAAACATTTACTACATGCATAATGTGGTTTTCTGTACCTGCAGTGTTTTGAGATTGATATAAGATTTTTTTTTTAAATGAATGAATGTGTAGAGCATGAAATCTGTGTAGAGCATGAAATCTGTATATAGCAATTGATTTAGGGAGTAGAGAAAAACTTATGGGTACTATTTTTATTTTGTATGTTATTTGCTTTCATGTTATTTATGACTCCAAACTTCACTATGCTCTCCAACATTTTTTTTTTTAATTTAGTTTGAACAATTTGAAAGCACCATCGGGTTTAAGCTGCCAAACCACCGAGCTGCCAAGCGTTTATGGAAAGTGTGTGTAGAGCACCATACATTTTTCAGGTGGGTTTTTTCCTAAGGAAGTAGAGTGATTGGAATCACCTTACTGAAAAAGCTGGTTAGAAAGAATACAGCAGCAAAATTCTGTCCTTCAAGTTTGTTGCCATCAGATTCCTTGATAAATCCTAAAGACTTCTGACTAAATTTGAAGGGTTTTTCTTTAGCTGTCTGATAGTTACCTGTCTTATCACCCCCTTTATTATCTTTAGTGGCTTTCCCTGTTTTTAATAGGATGTCCATTTCAGATGACCAGTCCATTCCTTGCTATTTCAATAACTTTTCAATAACCTCAACTCCTCTGCTCACACGCAGTAAAGCTGTCAGAGTTACATCTACAAAATAACAAATTATCACCGTTCACCAATATCACCTATTTAATTGCTCGTTGGGTTTGTAGAACCACAGACCCTCCAGTTCCATGGGATGGTCAAGTTCACCTAGTCCCAGCTCCACCCCCCATTGCGTGTCTACAGCATCCCTAGTTGATACTCACTGTGTGAATTGGCTTTTTTTCTTACAAAATCAGATTCATTGAATTGCAAGTTGGCTCTTAAACCTGTGGTGCACAGAGCCCTTTACCTTTCCGAACAGAGTAAGTAATGAGCATTCCTGGGGCTTTCCTGGTGACTCAGTGTTAAAGAATCCTCCTGCCAATGCAGGAGACACAATTTTGATCCCTGGTCCAGGAAGATCCCACAGACCACAGAGCAAATGCACCAAGCCCATGCAGCGCAACTATTGAACCCATGCTCCAGAAGCTGGTAACTGCAACTCCTGAAGCCCGGGTGTCCTAGAGCCCATAGCCCCCGCTCCCCACACCTAGAGAAAAGCCCACACAGCAAGGATAACCCAGCACAGCCAAAATAAGGAAAAAGAAGTTAGCATTCCTGATGTATAGCTTAATCATCTTTCCGATGTTTTTCCTTTAATCTGTAGACTGTTGTTACCAGAAGCGCCTCCAAAGAAGTTCCTCACCTTGGGTTCCAAGTTCCGTTACAGTGGCAGGACACAGGCCCAGACCAGAAGAGCCAGCGCGCTGATAGATCGTCCAGCCCCGTACTTCGAACGCTCGTCCAGCAAACGTTATACCATGTCTCGCAGCTTGGATGGAGGTAGGCACCGCTCGTAAGGATCGCTAGCGGCCACCAAATAGTGTGAGACCATCATGAGCCTTTGATGGGACATTGTTGCTCTAGGATAGTATGGAATGAAAAGCACTTGTTGGTCTTTGACCAAATGGAAAATTTTAACTAACCCCTAACCTCAAAAAAAACTTTAGTGACTTCCACTGGCTATCCAGTGGTTAAGACTTCATGCTTCTACACAGCAGGCACAGATTCGATCCCTAGTCAGGGAACTGAGTTCCCACATGCCTCATGGCATGGGTAAAAAAAAAAAGGTGCCTCTGTGAGTCCGATGTCTGCTGCTCTATGCTTAGGTGCTCAGTTGTGTCTGACTCTTTGCGACCCCATGGACTGTAGTCCACTAGACTCCGCTGTCCATGGGGATTCTTCAGGCAGGAATACTGGAGTGCATGGCCGTGCCCTCCTACAGGGGATCTTCCCAGCCCAGGGGTCAAACCCAGATCTCCTGCATTGTGGGCGGATTCTTTACTGTCTGAGCCACCAGGGAAGCCATGGTAGATTTATGTAAAATCACACAAAAAATGGTATTTGGAGAATGAGGCAGCTTTCATAAGTTGGCACCCTGAATTTGGAGAAGGATGCTCTTATTCTTCAATATAGGAATCACATACTTATATATAATTTGCTTCTCTCACCAGCAGATCTTAAATGATTATCAGGTTTATTTTAGATCATTTGGTTCAGAAAGAAAACTGCATTAAATGTATCTCTTGTTCCTTTAGAAATGTCAGCAGTGAAATGTGACTTTTATCTGTCAGTGGATAATAGCTTATAGGAACGATGACATTCAAATAACAGTGAAGGGCTCCAAGTGACCTCCTCTTGGTTTATATTAATCATTCCAGCAGATGGGCTGGGAGGGTGGCTGTAAAGATCCTCCAGCTTTAAGTCAGGTGTTTGGGTATGATGGGGAAAGAATCACTCCATCACTTAAGTAACATTTTTAAGGCATAAAAGGGAGTCTTTAGCAAGTTTCTGCCTCATGGGGCAGTTTTCTGTGGCCATGTAGAGTTACACACAGGTGTGCTTTTCTGCTCTAAGACATGCCAGCTAAAGTCAGAACATCTGTATCCTCAGAAGTGAGATCCACAGGGCAGAAGCCGAATGTGATCGCCATGCCAGGTACAGCGCTTTGTGCCAGGGACTTGAGTATCCACAGCTTTTGGTTGTCCTAAGAGGTCCTGGAACCATCCCCTCCAGACTCCAGGGGATGACTGTGAGTCTTGACTTAGGCCCCAGGCCTCTGTCTCCTAACCCAGAGCTCCTGGACGTGAGATGTGTTATAGGGACCTTGTCCTGGGCACATAGAAAGTGATGTTTCTAGCATGAGTATATGATTTTAATAATAAATGAAAGCATAAATAGAATCAAAAGTTATTATTACTGATGCCTGGGGTCACCTCCCCCCTGACCTCTGCCTTCAGCACACCATAGAGTCTCGGTCCTTCCTTCCCTTTTGCCAAGCCCTGACATGGCTGTTGGGGGTGACATACTCCCCAAATTCCTTGACTTAAAAGACTATATTGCATTGATGTTGTTAGAAATTCTGATTCTGATTGCAGAAAGAGATACAAATGTGAATGAGGTGAGATAAAGAATCCTATAATGCTGCATCTGAATATATCTGTCCGTGGTATTCTCCAGGCCGGAATACTAGAGTGGGTAGCCTTTCCCTTCTCCAGGGGATCATCCCAACCCAGGGATCGAACCCAGGTCTCCCACATTGCAGGTGGATTCTTTACCAGCTGAGCCACAAGGGAAGCCCAAGAATACTGGAGTGGGTAGCCTATCCCTTCTCCAACAGATCTTCCCAATGCAGGAATCAAACCAGGGTCTCCTGCGTTGCAGGCGGATTCTTTACCAACTAAGCTATCAGGAAGCCCAACAACATGAAGTCATAATTTGTAGCTCTTAATTCTTGGCTCTGTCCGCTGAAGGGGCTAAGAAGCCGTGATATCCAACAGCTGAGCACACTGAATGCCTACATCTTACTTCCCCAGCGTGTCCCCTGCCCCTGCCACCACCTTCTGTGCTTATGCCTGTGTGGGTATAGACACAGTTAGAAAAATATATACCAAAGAGTTTGCAGTGACAGTGGAATAAGGAGGGTGGGCAGTGAACAGACTGAAGAAAAGAAGAGAAAGTCTGTGTAAATTGACTTGCTGCCATGACCAAGAACTCCTTTTGCAGTTTGCAGATTCTGACGACGTGAATAAAAGCAATACACATAAAATGAAAAAAGACTATACTGTCCCAATGGAGTACTTTATAAGAAGTTCATAGAAATTTTTAAAAAGTTTATAGAGGGAGTCAAACTTATGTTATTAGTGCTCTGTTCCTCGTATAAGCTCCGTTAGTGAAGTGGGAAGAACGCTCACCTGGTGTGGATAAATCCAGGCCCGCGTCCAGACCCTTTCCTTGGACGGCAGTGGGTGAGTGGCTGACCGTCTGCAGGTCCCAGCTTTAGGCGCCGTCTGTGAGATGGCATCATGGCCGCCTCCGGCAGAGTCGTCGCAAAGAGTGAATAAGACGCTGGTGAAAGCGGTCTTTTTCCAGATGTGCTCCTGATACCTCAGCAGGTATATTGAGAGTCACTCTTTAGGCTCTTGTGAGCTGGCCTAGGAAGAAGGTCAGTTACCTTTCCCTACCTTCTAGAAGAGTGTCCCATTTTTAGAATCTCTGAGAACCAAACTTTGGGGAAACACTGTTTACTAGGACGTTCGAAGTTGAATTCTGAAAGTTCAAATTCGCAGTGGCACCTTCTCCCTGTATCGTCTCATCTGCTCTTTAAAGCATCTGTGTAAAGGGGTGTGTGTTCTTCAAGTCAGTGTTGGAGGAACTCGTGTAGAATCACGGCTTTTTCCCCTGAATGCCCTTCACGTGGTTCTGTGATGTGAACCCAAGGGGACACATTTGCTGTGAATGCTGTTTTCCTTGTGACCCTCTGTGTGATGGTGATTGCTGAGAAGACAGAAGCCAATTGTGAAACCAGTGTACTAATTCCTTGCTGTGTCTCTCTCTCTCCCCCTGCCCAAAAGTGACGCTAGTATGTGTTGTCTCTCACTCTCTGGGGTCCTGCCAGTTCTCGTATGTTTTCTGTGCTGCTCCGTGGGGGACCACGGCTGCATGTTGGAATAGCTACTGCTTTTTGCAAGGTTGCGTCTTCTATGAGAAAAGCCTAACAAGCTTTTTTAGGAAACTGTGTCTCATACAAGCTTTTTCGTCAGTAGATGGAGATGTAAAATATCTTAGTGAAGGTATTTTAGTGAAATGGTTTACTGTTCAAAGGATTTCAGAGTTTTTTTCTTACATTTATGTTTTTAACTCCCAAAAAAAGGAAAGCAGATTAAATTTTGCCTGAGATTTGAAAAACTACCTTTCTAAATTTTAGTAAATTTTATAGTACCTAAAACCTAAAAGAATGAGGAACAAATTTCAAAAATATAACTAAATCAGGTATCTCTTTCACTAAGACATTTTAGCTGGGAGGAAAGGCTGGGTCTCGCATCTCTTACGTTTGCATGCTTAGCAGTTGCATGAATTTCATTAGCAATGTTTGTCTTCCTTTCCCTAAATAGCAGAGTTGAATGAATGTATGCACATCGTGGCAGTTTTTTTTTAATGCAGTAAAAATTAAAACATTTCTGCACTTGAGTTGAGCAGAGTTGCCATCCGCATTGCATCATCTCTGCTGAGATGGCTGCTTTTCAGTATCACTTAGGTAGCTTTTATATTGTAGGAGAGAAAGACTTTTCAACCACTAATAACAATAGTAGTAGTAGCCATAGTAATAATAATTAAAAAAAAAAACTCATGCTCCTCAATGACTGGCAGTTCCAAAGATGTGTTCAGAGTCAAGTGTACTAGGGCCGTTGTCTGTCTCCTGTTAGTTGTGGAACTTGCCTTGAGTGCCGCTGCCCAGCCGGTTTACTCTGTGGGAAAGAGGTTCAGCAGTCGCTCAGTAGCCCCCTCTTTCCACTCACATCCACCCTCGCACACGCGCTTACCAGAGAGCCTGCGAGTGGATGAACACTGCTGGTGGCTTCAAGAGATGAGCATTGAAATCACGCTTAGACGCAGTCACGGGTGACAGAAATATGAAACTGCAGTGTTGCTTAGATGAGAATACCTGCAATGCTGATGTGTCTTTTGAAGAGAAACCTGGTGCTTTATTGGGGGGGGGGGTTGTTTGTTTTTTCCTGTAATAGGACAATGGGTGGCGTCCATCCTTCTTCTGACTTAACTATCTCGGACTTTATTTCTCCGATTGTATCTGCTTTTAGCATCAGTGAATGAAAACCATGAAATATACATGAAGGATTCTGTGTCCGCTGCAGAGGTTGGTACTGGCCAGTACATCACCACAAAGGGCATGTCTCAGACCAACTTGATCACCACTGTGACTCCGGAGAAAAAGGCCGAAGAGGAGCGGGACGAGGAGGAGGACAGACGGAAAAAAGCAGAGGAAGCCACGCCGGTCGCTGCCATCCGGCACGAGGGAAAGGTACATCTCCCCTCTGCCTCCCAGGGCTCCTGCAGATTCCAAAGAACTCCTGAATGGTGCTGAGAATGTGAAGCAGGAATGTGTGCATAAGACTTAGGCTGACTCATAGCTCAGCGTTAGTCACATTCATACTACCAGTCTTTATTATTTCTTCTGTCCACAGTTTTCCTCTGAAAGATCCCTTTTTAACTTTTTGAAACTTCTTATTGAACAACTTAGGTGCTATGTAAGACTTTCAACAGCTGTCCTGTCTGTAGATCTTAAAAATACATTTGGTGGCATATTAACACATTTATTAATGTTTGGGCTTACAATTCAGAACTGCCACTAAAGCTGTTTTCTTTGTTTCTGGCCCCATTCTCCTACCCAAGGGCTGTGTATTTATCTAGATGTACAGTATTGATTTTGCCATACTCTTGGCTGCAAGTAACTAAGTGACCACAACCTGCATTTTCATACACTGTTTACTCTCTTAGTCTTTTGATTTTAACCTCATCATCAAAGCAGCCAGTGGATATATTTTGGAAAAGGGTTAAGGCAGAAGGTCTCAGGGGAGATGGAGGGTAAACTTGCCAGTCATTTCTCCAGGGTGCTTGATTCGCTGAATTCGGTCACTTCATTTCATCTGAAATTCAATTTATTTTAAAAAAATAAACATGATTATTTCTGGAGCTCCAATACTACAAAGCAACTTTTTGAGAAAATGAATGTCAAAAAACATGTAGATAGCATCTGTCTGGTTTCAGGTTATATATCTCACAGAGCAGCTCCCATAAAAGTCAAAAAACACAGTAGGAGGTTTATATATATTAATCATGGAAATCCAGGAATGTACAGGGGGAAAGGAAACTGCAGAATAAAAATTCTGTGTAACTTAGAGGTGATGCTAAAATTGGGGTAAATTTGATTCAAAAGTGCTCTTTTGCAGGTGGGCTCTTCAGATGTAGAGGCTGGGGTGGGAAACTCCCCTGGGGCTCTGTAGAAAATACTCCTTTTGGTAAGAACTCAACAGTGACTTCTGAACGGGCAGACTGGCAAACATTTCATCATTCTGTTTATGATAGAACATCCCAGTGACCCAGTGTACAGCCCTTTTCTTAGGGTAAGATTAACTTATTTGCCAAACTCAAAGACAGGACGTAACAAGAAGGATATCTGGCTCACTTAAGCTACGAAAATGTGCATTGTTCTGAATTTCGTTTTCACACACCTCCTCCTTTTCAGTTAAGGCGGGTTTTAACTAGGTCTTGATCAGAAGATGATAATATGCTTGAAAACCAGTGCGTCCCATGATTTCTGGAAGTCGCCCAGGCTAACACTCCACTTTCAGGGATGTGTAAATAAGTTGAAAATGAAAGTGTTAGTCGCAGTTGTGTCTGACTCTTTGCAACCCCATGGACTGTAGCCTGCCAGGATCTTCTGTCCATGGGATTCTCCAAGCAAGAATACTGGAGTGGGTTGCCATGCCCTCCTCCAGGGGATCTTCCTGACCCAGGGATCGAACCCAGGTCCCCTGCATTAGCAGGCAAATTCTTTATCTTCTGAGCCACCAGGGAAGCCAAATAAGATGAAGTACCCTATAAAAGTAAATGACTTGTCCTTTGCTTCCAAAATGATCCATTCTTACTTTATTGATTTTAAAAGATCAGGGATTTGTTTACCTGAGATGGAGCCCTAAGCTGGTGTCACTTGGTGCCGTTTATGCCACCAGAGAATAAAAAGACAAAGGAGACTGCGGCTGTCAGTCAGAGCACCATGACCCAGACGCCTTCTGAGAGGCTGGGGCCCGAAGCTCCTGCTGCAGTAACTGCATGCTGTCTCCACCCCACCCCCAACCCCCNATTTCTCTATCTCTCTCCATCAGTTTAATCTACACTTCTCTTAGACTCAGGGAAGCACATGTAGAGTTTGCTCTTTCATCGGTTTTTTCATCTGTTTTACCTAATCGTTTTTTAAAATGTAACTTATGGTATTTCCTACAACTGAAAGAATTATGATGATGCTAATTTAAAATATCAATAATGGGACTAAAAATGTCAAATGTATAAGCATTTTAATTTATATGTGTGTGTGTGTATATATATGTATATATACACATATATACATATATATGTACAGTTTGAAGATGTTAAGTATGAAATTTACTCAGATATCATGTTTCATATCTCTAGTAACATTCATCAGTGTGGTGTTAAGTCGCTCAGTCGTATCTGACTCCTGGTGACCTCATGGGCTATAGTCCACCAGGCTCCTCTGTCCATGGGATTTCCCAGGCAAGAAAACTGGAGAGGGTTGCCAGTTCCTCCTCCAAGGGATCAAACCCGAGTCTCCCGCATTGGGAAGCATGCATAACTCTATGTTAAAAGCCACTGGTATGTGAACCTAAGCTGTTAAAAACTGTATCGTCATCAAACACACTTTTCATCTGCTTCTAAAAAAGTTAAATGCTAGAGCGCTGATTTTCAAGATTAATTGAGATGATGTGCAGGGAAGCTGAGTAAACTTGAGTGGCAGGGCAAGCGCTAAGGCAGGCTGCGAGAAGTCAAGCTTGCAGTTCAACTGCCCGTGGCAAGGCCAAAACCTCTGGGCGCTGGTGAGCCCCACCTGCAAGATTCAGTCCTGTGGACACAGGAGCCTCCCACTTCCACTTCCCAGCTCTATGGCCCACCACCTGCCCGTGCACCTCACACTTCTGCTCCACATTCCCTCTTTCCCCATACACGCTTACTCCAGCCACAGTGGATTATGCTGCTGTTCCACCTCTCAAGGTCGGTCCCTGGACTAGGACCTCAATGCCTGGCTGCACCTTCTCTCTGGAATGCTCACAACTCTCTCCTTCACTTATTTCAGGTTTCTATTGATACTTACCCATCAGCTCCTCAGAGATCATCCTGTCTACAAATATCCCTGTCTAAAAACCCCAACTCACAGATCAAACCCAGGTCTCCTGCATTGCAGGCAGATTCTTTACCAGCTGAGCTACCAGGAAAGCCAACATTTGACAGTAGCATGTTTGAAAGAAACAAAAATTATT